ATTTTTTCCTTCAAAAAATTCAAATGATTTAGACTTTTAAGAAAAATGTCCACATCCATCATGAATGGGATATCTTTCTCAACCTTTCATTTCGTTTTAACTTTGAATTTGCACTTAGGAAAACTGAAGGAGGCATACCCAGTGATGATAATTTTTTTTACATTAGTACTTTCCTGACTTTTGTGTTTACTTATTCTTTCTTAATTCATCAACCTTCTTTCTCTGAGAGATGGCTATTATACTTCTTGGACCCTATAGCTAGATTTTACAAAGCAGCAAGCATAGAAAGATTAAGTCACTTTGGGTGCCTTAAATACACATTGTTAGGTCATTCGGCCCCATTGTGATTTATAGCAATGGGAAAACAACAGAATCAATCACTGTCCCAATTCCGTGCCATCCTCCTAATTTTTGCTTTGTTTGAGCTCATTGCTGTAACCACTGTATCAGTTCATCTCCTTGATGGGCTTCCTCTGTTTTTCTTGACCCTCTACCAAGCATGTTGCCCTTTTTCAGGACCTGGTCCCTCCTGACAACATCCTAACTTCTAATCAGCATTGTGGTCATACTTCTTTCAAGACAGATCTGTTCTTTCTTCTGGCACTCCATGGTGTATTCAATATTATTTTCCAAAACCATAGTTCAAAGGCATCAGTTTTTCTTCAGTCTTCCTTATTCAACTTATCAATAAGTCCTTCAAGTACTACTACTGTCAAAACTCCTGACATCTGAGATTCAGTCAAAACCAAAATGGGGCATTACCTATCTCTACTAGAGTGACTATGATACAAAAAAAAAAAAAGAAAATGGGAAGTAACAGGTACTGATAAGGATGTGGGGAAATTGGAGTTTTTATTTACTGCTCGCTGGTAGAAATGCAAAATAATACAGTTGTTATGGAAAAAGTGGCTGGTTCCTCAAAAGGTTGAACATAGAGCTGCCACATGGCTGACTCAGCAATCCTAAATCTAGGTGTATAGCCAAAATATCTGAAAGTAAAAATTCAGTAGAAATTTGTACACCATTGTCCACTGTAACACTTTGAAGTGCTAATACGTGAAAGAACCTTAAAGCACTATGCTGAGTGAAATAAGTCAGTCTCAAAAGGACGGTATGGTTTCTTTTATAGGCAAGCATGTAGAAACCAAAGTTTATTAATTGAGGGGGGAGGGGGAATTATTGTTCATGGGAGCTGAGTTTATGTTAATGGCGATAGAATAAGAAAATGATAGTGATGATGGTTGCACAACATGAAAATGGTAAACAGTGTTAGTGAGTTATACAGGTAAAAAATGTTGAATTGGCAAGTGTTTTGGTATGTATATTCTTATTCCCCAGCCCCAATGCACAAACCAAGGGAGAGAAAGCACCCAGACTTCCCCAATCTGACTTCTTGCACCTTCATTTTCAACCTTATATCCATCCAAGGCATCCTTGTTTCTTACGTAGGAAGCCACAGTCAACAATCCCAACCCACTATCATCTGCCTTCTTGTACATCCAAATCATAACAGCCTGATCAGGCAGAGTAGACTGTCTTATTGGTTTTTCAAGGCTGTAAGTCTTTATGGAAGCAATACTGCTTCATTTTCCTCCCATGGAGTGCCTGATGGGTCTAAGCGCTGATTTTTTGGTTTTTAGCTGAGCAGTTTAGTCACTGAGCCACCAGGGCTCAGATAACATAATAACCTTAATTTGCGGTCTTAGTTCTTTCACTCTTGTTCTACTGGAAACTCCTTTCCACAGTGAATCAGATACGGCAGATCACATTGCTACCCTCTTTAGAAAGGCTTCCCATCACGGTTGTGATAAATCTAAACTCTTTTTTTTTTAATTAACCAAAATTTGTTTAATTCATCTCATTTTCCAAAGACTTAATTATGTGAACGTGAGTGCTTGACATGTTTCTGAA